CTGGGGATTCGAACCTGCCACCTTAGGTGTATGTGGCTGGCGCCTTAGCCGCTTGAGCCACAGGCGCCGAGCCTTTTTTTCATTTTTTAAAAATTTATTTTATTACGTCAAATACACATAGATTATGAATACATTCATGCATATGTGGGGTACAGTGTGTTGATTTTTTTTAATACATTCTGATGTGGTTACATTAAACCAATCAACATAGTTTTCACCTCATTTACTTGATTACTGTGCCAAAACATCTATGTTCTACACTTCACAGATTTGACTTGTACCCTTGTCATATGCTCCACAGGTGTGGTCCCGCCTTTTACCCTCCCTCTGTCAAACTTCCCCTGTCCCCTCCTTTCCCACTCCATTTCTCTCCTTCATCCTAGTTGTGTTTTTATTTTTTTTTGAGACAGAGCCTCAAGCTGTCCCCCTGGGTAGGGTGCCGTGGCATCACAGCTCATAGCAACCTCCAACTCTTGGGCTCAAGCGAGTCTCCTGCCTCTGCCTCCCAAGTAGCTGGGACCACAGGCGCCCACCGCAACACCTGGCTATTTTTTGGTTGTAGCTGTCATTGTTGTTTGGCGAGCCCGGGCTGGATTCGAACCCGCCACCTTAGGTGTATGTGGCTGGCGCCTTAGCCACTTGAGCCACAGGCTCCGAGCCCTAGTTGTGTTTTTTTAAATAACAGCTTTATTGGGATATAATTCACATACCTACAGTTCATCTAAAGTTTATAGTCCGTTGGTTTTTACTATATTCAGTTGTATAACCATTACTACCATCAATTTTAGAACAGTTTTATCACCCATAAGAAACCAGTAAGCAATCATTCTCCTTCCCCACCCCCATCCCTTGGCAAGTGCTCAACTACTTTCCATCTCTGGATTTGCCTTTTTGGGACATTTCATATACATTGAGTCATCTAATGTGTGATGTATATGACCGACTTCTCTCAGTGTAATATTTTTGAGGTTCATCCATACTGTAGCATGCATTGGTACTTCATTCCTTTTTATGGCTGAGTAATATTTGGTTAGACGTACTACATTTTGCTTATCTGCTCATCTATTGACGTTTGAGTTACTTCTATTTTGGGGCTATTATGAATAATGCAGCTATGAATAATAGTGAACAAGTTTTTATGTGGACATTTCTCTTGGGTATACACTTAGAAGTGGAATTTCTAGGTTATATGGTAACTCTATGTTTAACTTTTTGGGGAAGTGCCAGACTGTCTCCAACTCAGCTGTACCATATTGCTTTCTCCCTAGCAGTTATAGTTCATTTTTGATTTTGCTTTGGATCCAAGATACAGTTAAGGGTCATACATTGCATTTAGTTGTTAATGTCTCCTTGGTCTCCTTATATCAGCAACAGTCTCCCTTGCCTTTTCTGATATTTACCTATTCGAAGAATCTGGACAGGTTTTTGGGTGGAACATCTCTCAATTTGGATTTGTCTGATTGTCTTATCATTAGTTTCAGGTTAAACATTTTTGTCAGAAATCCTTCATGATTACGTGATGGCCTCATCACCTATGCTAATGCAGAAATGGGGATTTTCTACATGGGAACCTGCGTGAAGCTGGGCCTCACATGGGCTACCTTTAGGACCTTTAGGAATTCCTTTTAATTCCTTTAGGACCAAGGTGCTTGTCTTTTCTGTCACTCTTTTGGCTGAGCAGCTGTTTAATTTTCTTTCTGTGGACTGGCTTTCTGTGTTTCTGATTGCAGGTAGGTAGGAAATGGTTGTCCAGCTACTGGCAACTAGCCCTAAATTCTAGGAGAGAATGTTAGTGGCCCATTTTGAGTCAGCTGTTCTGTGCAAGGCTGTGTGGGCAGATGCAGCGAGGAAGCCTAGGCTGTCCTGTTCTTTGGTCTTAACTGATAGCTGAGAACCTTTCACTTTATTCTCATAGTTAAGATCATTCCTGAGCACATTACTTTGAACCCTTGCCTGGTTGGTTTACCCAGGGGGTGACCATCGTCCCTCTCACAGGTTTGGCCTTTGTCAATGCTGTCTGGATGAAACACTGTTAACAGAGGGACAGTCACTCTCATTGTCTCCTCCAGATCTTGTGGTTTACCCCATGATGCTAAGTAAGTGCAGTCTGACCCTTTACAACAGTGGTCTGAAGACTGCACGGGGTACCTAGACAAGGATAGTTTAAGAAGGGAATTGAGTTTTAATTCCTCAGCTTCCATTACACTTCCTGAAATTGAGCTGCTGGAGAACACACCTGGCTTAAGGAGGTCCTTTTTGATGTTTTGCACTCCATGGAAGGAAGGCACACCCTCAGCTGTTCTAGTTAGACTGTGGTATATTGTCTTAGAGTATAAAAGCTGTCTCTAGGACACCATATGGATAATTACAAATACCAGTAACACTGAGGAACTATGTGACTCTAATGACTGGGCGACAAATGCTTTAGCTACTTAGAAGTTTTCTGAGTCCTTGCTTTTAACAAAGTTGAATCAACTGAGTTGTCAGTTGATCATTAAGAAATAATTGTGAGGCTCAATACCTGTGGCTCAAGTGGCTAAGGCGCCAGCCACGTGCACCCAAGGTGGCGGGTTCGAATCCAGCCCCGGGCCGCCAAACAACAATGACAGCTGCAACCAAAAAATAGCCGGGTGTTGTGGCGGGCGCCTGTGGTCCCAGCTACTTGGGAGGCTGAGGCAGGAGACTCGCTTGAGCCCAGGAGTGGGAGGTTGCTGTGAGCTGAGATGCCACGGCACTCTACCCAGGGGGACAGCTTGAGGCTCCTGTCTCAAAAAAAAAAAAAAAAGAAATAATTGTGATACTAAATCATGACGTGACCTTTAGTTATAGTTTAGTTTTGGCTACATCAAAGAATTCAGTGATGTTCCTATCACAAAACTTCATTTTTTCCTACTTATTTATTAAAACAAGGTTTCTCAGTGCTTATATCAGTAAAAATAAAAAAATTGAGTATGGAGTTGGTACTGAAACTGTCTTAACACTAAGCAAGATTCATCTGTGGAAACCTGAATCAGCTTCTCCCTTTTTCTAATTGGGTTGCATTTCTTTTTTTTTTTTTTTGAGACAGAGTCTCACTATGTCACCCTACGTCGAGTGTCGTGACATCACAGCTTACAACAACCTCAAACTCTTGGGCTTAAGCGATTCTGTTGCCTCAGCCTTCCAAGTAGCTGGGACTACAGGTGCCCATCATAACACCAGGCTATTTTTTTATTGCAGTTGTCCTTGTTTAGCAGGGTTCAGACCTGCCTGCCTCAGCGTATGTGGCCGGCACCCTAACCATTGAGCACGGGTGCATGAGAAATAATATAAATTTCACATTTAATAATTGTCAATATTTATATCCTGTTGTTTTGGTCAAATATGTACTGATAGTAATTATAATAATGTAGTCCAGAATAAAAAATGTTTTTAATACTTTGAAGCCTTTATGGTCACAGGGAATTTAACCGAATTTAAATTTCAGAATGTTACATTGGATTATGTGTCCTCAATAAGAGACTTTAGTCCTAAAATTGTTTTACATTAGGG